TGCCCCAGGCAGGTCTCGAACCCGCGGGCTCAGGCAATCCACTCACCTCAGCCTCCCAAAGGTGCGGGATTACAGGCTGAGCCACTGAGCCTGGCTCATTGTTTTTTTTACAAAGTGCCAGGACAACTCAACAGGGGAAAGAATGGCCTTTTCAACAAATGGTGCTGGGATTACAAGATAGTCACATGCGAAAAGTTGGAATACGCCACAGAATTATTCAAAATGGGTTGTAGACCTGAACATAAGAACTAAAACTATAAGACTTTTCAAATGAACTACAGAGACAGGTAAATCTGTATAACCATGGATTGGACAAGGATTTCTGAGGGATGACGTCAAACGCACAAGTGACAAAAGGAAAAAATAGACAAATGGGACTTCGTTAACATTCTAAGCCTTTGTGCTTGAAAAGACAGCCTCCGAAAAGTGAAGACAGCCTGCAGGATGGGAGAGGCAATTATAAATCATGTGTCTGATAAGCATCTGTTTCTCAAAATATATAAAGAACGATTACAGCTCTACCATTAAAGGACAATGGCCCAGTTAACCCCAGTGAGGCACCACTTGACGTCCACAGTGGCAGACCGTAACAAGTGTTAGTGAGGATGTGGAGAAATTGAAAGCTTTATATATTGTTGGTGGGAGTATAAAACTAGTACAGCAACTTTGGAAAGCAGTTTGGCAGTCTTTCATAACGTTACGCATCGTGTTATCCTGTGGCCCCACAGTTCCACTGCTAGGTGTTAATCCATGACAGCTGAAGCACGAAATCCTGTTTGTAGCAACCAAAGTGGAAGCCACAAAGTCATTACCTGATGAATGGATAAGCAGAGTGTGTGATAGCCATAGGGTGGAATTACGGAGCCACAGCAAAGGAATGGCGGACTGCGGCATCTGCAGTGCGGACAAACCTTGACAGCATCGTGCTCAGTGAAAGCAGCCAGATCAGAGGCCTTGTAGTGGATGACTGCATTCACGTTCAGTGCTCCGTGGAGACGGGAGTAGATGAGTAGTTGCCCGGAACGAGGGGAAGGGCGCACTGGGAAGTGGCAGCTAATGGGGACAGGGTTTCTTTTGGGGGTAAGGAAGATGTTCTGGGTAATTAGATAATGGCGACGGCTGCAACGTCTGGTTGGTTGTATTGGGGCCCCTTCAAAAGGGTGAATTTGTGATATGTGGATTGTACCTTAGTATCAGGAGAGAATGCGAGAGAGCACAAGCCTGTTTCTCGTCATTGCATTGTCCCTGCCTCTCTTTACTCACTGACAGTACTGACTAGGCCCCTGTCCAGTCAGTTTGTGTTTGAAACGTTTGTTCACACAAAGACACAAATGTCCACTGCGGTGTCATTCATAATAGCCGGGAAGTGGAAACAACTCGTTCATTCGCTGCCGGATGAATGAGCAAAATGCGTCTATCCACCCAGTGGGATGGTTCCAGCCTTAGAGAGGAACGAAGTACGATATGCTACATACTACATACCACATACCACACACCACACACCACACACCACACGATGATGAAACCTTGGCAACATTATGCTGCGTGAAAGAAACCAGTTACAGAAGGTCTCCCGATGCATGACTGTGTTTTGGTGAACTGTCCAGAATAGGGAACTCCATAGAGAATAAAGTCAAATCACTGTTGCCAGGGGCTAGGGAGAGGGGCGGTGGGGAGTGGATGCTGATAGGTTTGAGGATGGTTTATTATTCGGTTTCTTGGGAATGATGAAAATGGTCTGGGATTCGAGGGCGGTGATCTGTCAGAATTCTCCCATTATGCTGTATATCACCGAATTGTGCACTTTAAAATGTACTTTATGGTGTATGAACATTATCTCAGTAAAGCTGTTATAAAGGAAAAGTAACTCGAGATGATTGATAAAAGCAAAATATTTCATGTTTATTCAAAATTCCATATGTATTCTTAAATACATATAGAAAACTCTTTGCAAGGGCATGTGAGAATGTTAATAGTTTTTTATTGCTGTTATAAATGTATTTTATAATATATTTTAAGTATGGTATTTTAAGTATTTTTATAATCTATAAGTATACATGGTATAATAAAAATTGTTTTACTTTTTGTATTTTGATCGTTTTTATACATTTAATATGTTAACTTGTATAATAAGATAAGCAAGTTACAAACAGACAGATTAGTTAATTTGGTGACTAGGGACTTTTGGCCTTTTGGAGGTCTGGCCCCTTAGGAGGGTAAAAAGGAGGGGTCTGGTTATAGTGGGAGGCACCCGTGTGGGTGATCTCTTCAAGAAGCTTGGCAGCGAGTTCAAAGGAGGGTAGAAAGGTCAGCGTGTGTGTGGGAGGACTGAAGATTGTAATAAAGTTTTGCCTTTATGAATGTCTTATGATTTGTGTATGTATTATGAGAGGGGACCCCAATAAACCCTGGGATTGTCTTTTGGAGGACGGCCCCTTGTTGCACAGGCTTCCCAGCTAGCTAAGTGTTCTGGGAACCCATCAGCTTTAGTATACCAGCTAGCGTTGTTGTGAGAGACAGCGTTTGGCCTCAGAGAAATTTTGGGGGAAATTCTTTCAACACATATACATTTGCCCACTTCATGTGAGCATGCTTGCCCATACTGCGCTGAGTATTCAGCAGTTTTTGACCAAAAAGTGGCATGAGCTTTCCCTATTTACCCGATCTCACCCGAGTGACTCTTTTTTTGTTTTCCTGAATGAAAAAAATCATCAAAGGGAAACGTTTTGCTGATGAGGAAGTAGTGAAACAAAAAAACAACAGAAGCACTAAAAGGTATCAAAGTTGGTGGCTCAAAACTGTTTTGGGCAGTGGAAAAAGTGACTCAATAGATGTATTGTGTCAAATGGAGAATACTTTGAAGGTGACTGATGTGTAAACATGTAAGAATAAATATACAATTTTTTATAAATAAATTCTGGGGTTTTTGGGGTCCCTGCTCATATCTGATCTTCCCTGTGACCCAGTTAGGTAAGTAGGGCAATCCTTGTTCTGAAGTTGGAGAAACTGAGGCACAGGGCAAGTTAAGTAGCTTGACCAAGATCATATGATAGTGGTCAAGTCCTTGATTCTAAAACTCGTGCTTTTCCAGCTGTGCCAGTCTGTGTGTTAGGGGTTATGGGCGTCCTGGAGGGTCTAAGAATGAAGGGGTGTTTGAAGAATTGAGTCAGGAGCACAAGTGTGGGAGTTCTCCATAGAAAAGAGGGAGAGTCTGTCTACAACAGAAGTGTGTGAAGATGCTGCTTGAAAATACCAGAAGAAAGGTGATTTTCTACCAGTGCTTTTGAGAGCAGGTTCTTGCTTTTGTTAAGAGATCAGGAAGATAAAATGGACCTCAGAGTAGTCATTTTGCTTGCTGGTAGTAACATGGATATTTAATATTAGCAATAATATTGCTTTAGAAATGGAATCTTATTTTTTTTCATTCAGATCTATTCTTACGTACAGCCGAATTGGAGGACGAGTCAAGACTCTTACATTCTGCCAAGGCTCCCACTACTTAGCTGCAGCATCTGACAACGGTGCTGTCCAGCTTCTTGGGATTGAAACTTCCAAGCTGCCCAAGTCTCCTAAAATCCACCCTCTGCAAAGCAGGTCTGTAACTTGAGTCTTTGTAGACTTTGCTTCAGTGTACTGTGGTAGCAACTCTCCCCTTCACAGTGTAGTTTGGATCAGCTGAGGACCTCTTACATTGTACTTCTTCTTTTAAGCCCATCAAGTCTCAACTCAAAACTGTCCCATGTGGTTCGTCTCAGCAGATGCTGTCTGCATATCTTACTTTTGCCAGCTTGTCACAAGGTCAGAGGGCAGTTTTGAACTTGTGGCTTACCCAGTCTGAGATTTGTCTGAATGGTCTAATGATCAGTTATGTCTTCTGTCTCAACTACTGAAAGTGTACCTCAGTCCCATGGGGAAATAGACAAGTGAGCAGACAGTTCCACGGCAGTGTGGTAACATGCCACTGTCTACGGGGCTCACAGGATTGAGCTTGAAAGGAAGACAGCCAGTGAGATCATATGTGCGTTAGCTGGCAGAAGAGGGCGGTGAAGACATGTGCCAGGCAGGCTGACAGCTCCCCGAGAAGAAAGCAGCACGAGGAGGTTGTGGCCTTGGGCAGCTGAAGGCAGAAAGGGATGTTGGTTGGGTCACTTAGGATTATTTTGTTTTTGCTGTTTTTGTGTTGCTTTTGAATTTATTTATTTATTTTTATTTTTAATTTTTTTTTTGAGTTGGAGTCTCACTCTGTCATCCAGACTGGAGTGCAGTGGCCGCTCCCTGCCACCGCAGCCTCGACCTGCTGGGCTCCGGCGATCCTTCCACCTCAGCCTTCCTTGTAGCCAGAATTACAGGCACGTGCTACCACGCCTGGCTAATTTTTTGATTTTATTGTAGAGATGAGGTCTCGCCTGCCCAGGCGGGTCTCGAACCCGCGGGCTCAGGCAATCCACTCATCTCAGCCTCCCAAAGGTGCGGGATGACAGGCTGAGCCACCGAGCCCGGCTGCTTTGGAATTTAAAAGTATGTGTTCAACATTCGTTAAGCAGATTTGAGCAGCTTTTGTGCGGTGTATTACGGGTGACTCTTGACAACAGCTATCTGCCAGTGTTCTTTACAGTCCATTTCAGCAGAGGATGGCTGTAGAATAATAGTCCTGTGGAGTTTTCTGTGCATTAGCTATTGGCCCAGTGTGCTCTGTGATGACAGGGCCACAGGCCCTACACACAGATGTGCACGTTCAGTGCACAGTGAGCTCTCTGCCGAAAGGCTTTTCTTTCACTGTGAATTCACGCCTCTGCCCAAAGCACTTGTTGACTGTCTAGGTTGGGAGACTGCCAGGGTGTTCAGCTGCTGACAGTGGTGGCTCTCAAAGGAACTTTGCCATATGTCCTGTTTGTTTTATTCGTTCATATCAAATCTTGTCATTGCTCTTCATAGCTAGAATTAGTGGAAGGAACCATTTCACAATTTATTTGGCATTTGGACATATCATCCCTCTATGGGGAAATATAGTCAGAATTGGAAATGTTTATAAATATAATTGTTGATCTGGGAGGTCAGCAAACTATAGCCTGTGTGATATGGTTCATAAAATAAGAATGATGTCTGCACTGTTAAAGGGTTGTACAAAATAAGAGAATGCAGTGGTGATGTATGTGTCTCACAAAGCCCAAAATATTTATAATCTGACTCCTTATAGAAAATATTTGTTGACCCCTGACCTAGGAGAGAATATGAAAACGGTCCGTGTGAAAAGGTGGTGTGTGCTGATAAAGGAGGCTGGCCATGTGCTTTACGATGTTCTTTTTAGGTTTAAAAGTGTCTCAGCTTGAAAAGACGGTCCAGTTACACAGGACAGGAGGGCTCCGCAGTATAAAGAAGTAAGTTAGTGACTCGGGCAGCAGCATCAAGAGTTAGACCTGAAAGGCTGTTTGTTGTGTTTCCAGTAATATCGTACGACATTCTGGAAAGTATGAAATTATAGGGAGGAAAACATGTGGAGAGCAGTGGCTGCCCCAGGTTGAGGGTAAGGGCAGAAGTTGACTGCAAATGGCCACGCAAGGTGATTTTGAGTGAGGAACAGTTTTGTGTGTGTCTTGGTAGAAGACAGCCATGGGTTTTGATGTAACCCATTTAGCTGAATACCACAAAAAGTGAATTTTACTGTATGTAAATTTTTAAAAAGTCAACCAGGATGTCGGGGTAAAGGTGGAGTGCATCTGTTTTAACACGTGAATCACATCATCACGCTGCAGGGCGTGGGGAGTAAAGGAGCCAGGCCAAGGAAGCTGGGAAGCAGTGTTTGGACTGGGTCCCAGAAGGCCAGTGATGAAAGGAACTGAACTCAGACGCTGTAGTGCAGTTGGTTGTTTGTCACAGGGGTTAACCGGCTGCAGCTTAACAGTTTTGAAATGACTAGGTTTTTCATTTACAGACTAGGTTTGAACAAATGGTAGATATATTGTAGATAATGAGAGCCAGGTTTCTCTCTGTAGGAGAAAGAAGTCACGAGTCATGGAAGAGGAGTGGCTAGCATGAACTCTGGAGCTGGGTAGGAGCTGAGATGTTGATACGGGCTTGTGACGCACGCCCATGTGTACACACATAGGCAGGCAGGGAGATGCAGAAATACAGGTGCATCCGCATGCTCGAACTAGTGTGCCTGACAGGTCTTGGTTCTGGCCATTGGAGGAGCCAGGAGCAGGGACTCTGCCCTGGCAGTGAGCATTTAGTGTCTTTGTCTTTGTCTCTAGATGCCATTCTGTGGTACAAGGAGCCAGTACTCTGGGAAAACGTGGATCCCAGGGGCGTGGCGGGGCAAAGAAAGCAAGAGCCTGGAGCCTCTTGCAGCATCACAAACTTAGGAAGTGTCCAGAAAATGCCCTGGAAGGGAGCGCTGCCCACCTGAAATTCTCGGTGGGCAGAGTGGGGAGAACTCAGGCAGCAAAGCAAGTACTGGTGGCGTTAACAGGGTTAGAACGTGAAGAACAGAATGTCTGTGAAGCCGTACTGTTGTACATCAGTGAGCTAGTGAATACTTGGAGAAGAAGGGACAATTTGCAGAAGAGTTCCAGCGTGTTACTGTGGAAGGAATGAGGGAAGTGGAAAGTCACTGTGGGCTCGCTGTGAGCACGTCTGTGAGTGAGTGCCGAAGCTTGTGGGCCAAGGCTGAGGCAGAGACGGCATCTCTGCATTGTCTCAAAGCATTTCACCAAGTGTTGAGTGATCGTCGAGGGAGAAGCCTAGCAGACAGCACCTTAATCAGATGATGGAGATCAACATTGCCAGTGATGGAGACTGAACTTTTTCGTTCTCTTCTTTCTTTTTGAGTTGGGGTCTCACTCTGTTGGCCAAGCTGGAGTGCGGTGGCATGATTATAGCTCACTGCTGTGGTCTCGACCTCCTGTGTCAGGAGATCCTTCTGGCTCAGCCTCTCCAGTAGCTGATACTACAGGCATGTGCCACTGCGCCTGGCTAACTAACTTCCTTATTTTTTGCAGCAATAATGACTCCATATGTTATCTAGGCCGATCTCAAACTCTCAGACTCCTTTCTTGCCCAGATTGGTAGGATTATAGGCTTGAGCCACCATGTCTAGCCTCAGATTGATTGTTTCTAATAGGAAAATCCAAAATCCAGCATGCTTCAAAATCTGAAACTGTTTGTGTGCTGACAGGATGCCACAAGTGGAAAATCCCAGGCCCAATCGCACATGACAGGTTGCAGTCAAATTGCAGTCAAAACTTTGTTTCATGCACAAAAGGCTTAAACAAATTCTTAACAAAGTTACCTTCAGGGTATGTGTATAAGGGCTATATGAATCATGTGAATTTCATGTTTAGACATTAGCATATGCGGACATTCCATAATTTGAAAAAATCCAAAGTCTGACCACTTCTGGTTCCACGCATTTCAGATAAGATACCCTGTGCTTACTGGGGTCAGCTACTGTCTCACATGATGCACTGAGAAGGGCACACCACTTCTGTGATGTCCTTCCCAATAAGGCATTCCTCAGTATGATAATGAGAAAACATCAGACAAAACCCTAACTGAGGCACATTTTCTGAAATCACTAACCAGTAGTCTTCAAAATATCAAGGTCATGAAAGCCACGAAAGACAGAGGGAAAACTGGTAAGATCAGCAGAATGCCTTCTGTGCTGTGCTTACTAGTAATGAGGTTAACATCACCAGTCGTACATATCGAGCGTTTCTAATACAAAAATCCAAAATCTGAAATGCTCCAAAGTCTAAGACTTAAGCCATAGTTTAATTCCTTAGTTTTGATAAATGCCCTGTGGTCGTGTAAGACATTATCATGCGGGGAAGCTGAGTGAAGGGTATACAGGAGCTCTGTGCTGTTCTGGCAGTTCTTCTGTAAGTCTTTAACTACTTTCTAAAGTGTCTCAACTGCTGTTTTCTGGGTGGCCACGTTAGTTCTTATTTCTTGACCGCGGGTAGGACACGGCTTCATCTGAAATGGAGACGAGTGCTATGTTTTCAGTGTCTGGAAACGTCTTTGCCCTCTGCTCTGTGTATTTCTCCAGAGTTCTGGATCCGAAGGAGGACGGCTGTGTTGTGGACATGCACCACTTCAACTCCGGGGCGCAGTCTGTGCTGGCCTACGCCACTGTGAATGGCTCCCTGGTCGGCTGGGACCTCAGGTCTTCCAGCAACGCATGGACACTGAAGCACGACCTGAAGGCAGGCCTCGTCACCTCCTTTGCAGTGGACATTCACCAGTGCTGGCTGTGCGTCGGTAGGCTGGCCGCGGGCCCTGGGCGCTCAGGCCCCACTTGCCTGCGAGTGCTGCCTGCCCTGTGAAAGTGCTGTCTCCTTTTTCTTCATTGGGGATTTTTCCCATCTCCTTTTAAAAATAGCTCCTATGTTATAAGACTCGCAATTTGTTTTTTTCATTAAAAAGCAGGTTTGAAAGGGTGAAGTCAGTATCCTAAGGCATAGCACAATGTCCTCACTGTCCTTGTTCTTAAATGAACCTCTTTATAATTGATGCGATGATCAGATTTGCTGGCATCTTCTTATTCTACCAAAAGCAGCAAACTTGATTTCAGGAAAATAGCCTTTGTGTTTGAGCAGATGCAGTTGTAAGTTCCAGTAGCCTCAGGTAAGTCACTTAACTCCTCTGAGTCTCAGCATCCTAGTCTTCGGTGGGGCCAGCCCTTGCCAGCTGGCCGGTGGGTTTTCCAGAGGTGCAAGCAGCTGGCGCAGTGCCTGGCGTGGGCGTGCCAAGCCGTGGCTGCTGCCCTCCGTGTCCACCTTGTTCCCGAGCCTGGAGCCGAACCCTGTGACCTTGCTTCCTCCTTGCCTGCTTTTTTTTTTAAGTGTTTAATTTGAGGAGTTCTGAGAACTACCCTTGATAGTGCGGCCCCTCCCCCCACCACCGGGTGAGAACATTTCCTTTGCTACATTTCTCATGCCCTTTCACGGTCAGGACCCTCGTCCTAGCCCTGGCAGACCTTTCATCTGACTGACGCCCCCATAGTTTTGCCTTTTCCAGAATGTCACATAACGGAATCAAAGCCTTTTTCGCTAAGCTTTTGGGACGTTGGGTGTGGTTGAGTGTATGAGGAGCTTTCTTTTATGTATTGAGTAATATTCCATTTTATGGGTAGGTAGCAATTTGTGTCGCTCTGTCCTCCAGGTGATGGATGGTTGGGTGTTTGGCTCTTTTGAGTAAGCGTGCTGCAAATGTTGGCAAATAAGTCTTTGAAAGGACATATGTTTCCATTTATCTCAGGCATGCATATCTATATCTCTTTCTAAGAATGGAGTTGCTGAGTTTTTAAAATTTACTTTTAGTTTTGACAGGTAATAATTGAATATATTTATGAGGTAAATACAGTGCTTTAATATATGTTAATTGTATGATTAAATCCAGGCTAATTAACAAATCTATCACCTCACGAAGTTATTTGTGATGAAAACATTTAAAGCCTCCTCTTTTAACGATTTAGGAATATGCAGTGTCCTGCGCGTGGCCATCACTGTTCTGTGTGTAGATCCTAGAGCTTGCCCTCTTGTCTAACCAAAACCCTTTGATCACTTCCTCCCCCCCTTAAGTTCCCCCTTTTCCTCTTGGTGTCTTGAACCTGGTCCGCCAGAACCTGCCCTGGCTCATTCCTTTCCTGGTGACTTTCTCGTTCAGAGTAGTTGTCTTCTGTGCTTGAGTTTAGGTTTTATTTTTTGGGGGGCAAGCTCACTTTTGCTTTATGTTTTTCTTTTTGTGTGGCTCCAAGGATTAAACTTTCATATTTAAACTTTCCAAGCAGAACTTTAAAGCAATCCAAAAAGATAACAAGTCAAAAAACAAGTACCCTTCAGGGGCTCTAGGTTTCCTGACTTTTCTGGTTACATTGTCAGGTGTGTGCCCTTTCCTCTATGACTGTCTATATAGCTTGTATGGAACACGTATGTTTGCCTTCTATATGAGTAAATGGCACAGCTCCAGGAAGAAGGGTAGCACCATACACCTGGCTACGGAGCAGTGCCTGGTAGGGCCCCGGTCAGCCGCGAGGAGGGCAGCCCAGTGCCTGTAGCTGTCTGAGTGGTCGTCCTGGCGTGGGGTGGACTGACACGCAGAGAGACCCAGCGGCCCCCACAGACCCTGTGCTCTGTGCTGCTTCATGACCAGCTGCTCAGTGTTAGAGCAGGCACTGTTCTTTTGGGATGGGGTTCTCTCTCTGTCCGTCTCCATCTGTCTCTCCCTGGGGTTTACGTTATGGGCGGTTTCTGTTGTGAGCGGATACCCATCCCTGTCTGTAGAGTGTTTTGGAGAAGAGAGCATCTGGAAATTATTGAAATCTGATGATTTAGTAGCTACAGACCTGCTGCTATTTAAGGATTGATAAAGCCATCGTTGAATGACAAAAAAACATCCTGGGTTATTTCAGGCAACCTGAACATTTTGACTTACCAAACTCAGTTATAGTTATAAGAACTTTTGTTTTTGTGGGTGCCTTTGGCAATTAACAACTGTGAGTAATTAGTGAATTATTTATTTTCATTCATTATGCAATGAATGAAAGTAATTTATCGGATGCTACTGTAATAACATTATGATAAGCACTTTATATCTCTGCTATTTAATAGCCAAAGGTGCTGCTTGAAACTGGGAAGACAGTTTTCAGTGACTAAGGCAGCTTTAAAGTCATACATGCTCGTGTTGTTGCCATTTGTATAAATGCAACCTGATGTGCTTTGATCACTAGGTGGTGATCTTCCTGTGCTTTATTCTTTTAGGTACAAGCAGTGGTGCCATGGCTTGTTGGGACATGAGGTTCCAGTTGCCAATTTCAAGTCACTGCCACCCTTCCCGGGCTCGGATCCGGCGCCTCTCCATGCACCCTCTGTACCAGTCCTGGGTGATTGCAGGTTGGTGGGACTGGTGTTCATGTCGCTAGGGTTCACATTCTGCAGAGGAGCCCAGTGCTTGGTTCTGATCTGACTGTGGAAGTTCCCACCCCTGATACTTATGGTCATCACATACTTATTATATTAAAAAATTATCTCCTCAGTCACCCCCATTCCTGACTGTCCACCCTACTTTCATTGCTTTTCTTCCTCCCTGGTCCCCCATTTCTGCTAAAGCTGCCACCGTCTTCCTGGAGACCTAGGTTAGAGACCATGAGTCACCCTTCTTGGTTGCTGTTTCTTGTTGACATGTCCCTGTTGTGCTGCTCGAAAGCTGCCCTGCCCTTCCCACATGGCCCTCTTAGACTTTTCTGTATGGATTCTTGGGATAGACGCTTGGGCACGTCTTTGAAATGGATTTTCCTCATCTGTAAAGTGTGACTAAAGACTCCGTATCTCGTGGCGTTGTAAGGAGTTGTGTTAAACGTGTAAGGTGCACAGTCGGTGCACAGCCACGGCCGGGCAGGTGAGACTCCTGTTAGTCCTGCATCATCCACTGTCCTCTTGCCTCTGGGCTCTCCATGTCCCTTCTCGTACACCGCTGCTGTCAGAGTCCCGTGTTCCAAGTTCCTGGCCATTACTGTGAGCCTTCTTGTTATCTGAGTTATCACTGGTCAGAGGGTCATTTCTGTCTTTTCCAGATACCTGGTTCAAGGACATTTCTCTTGGTTCCCCTGCATCTTGATCTGCTGGTCCTTCTCACCCTCCCAACTTCTACCCGCAGCCTGTCTCACGGCTTAGTCTGTGGCCTTCACCTCCATACTGCTGCCTGTGTGACCTCACGTGGTTCCAGGCTTTGCCTACCAAACATATTCAGATTCTTGTATCTGTCCAGACTGCACATGTGGCTTCTCCTCTGCTGAATGCCACCACACCTCCTCCCTCTAGACAGCCTGCCCTTCCTGTGGGTGCCTCTCCGTAAATGGCAGCTCTTTTCTGCTAGGTGTTTGGGCAGAGGATGACTGTTGTCCTTGAGTCTTCTGGTTTGTTTTGTTTTGTTTTGAGTCAGAGTCTCACTCTGTGGCCCAGGCTAGAGTGCAGTGGCACATTCACAGCCACCACAGCCTCGGCCTGCTGGGCTTAGGTAGTCCTTCCACCTCAGCCTACCAAGTAGCTGGAACTACAGGGCACACCACTATGCCTGGCTAATTTTTTTATTTATTAACAAATCATGGCGAAGTCCTGCCATGCTGCCTGGACTGGTCTCGAACCCCTGGGCTCAGGCAGTCCTCTTGCCTCTGCCTCCAGAGTGCTGGGATGACAGGCATGAGCCACGCGCTTGGCCCTTGAGTCTTCTTATTCTCATCTCACACCCCCATCCCCTAGCCAGCCCCGTATGTTCTGCTTTAAAATATATCCAGAACTGGATCACTCTTGCTTGCCTCGACCCCCCTCCCTAGTCCAGGCCCTCCTCGTCTCTTGAGTCTCCTGGCAGCCTGCTTTTCTTTGTGACTCTGCAGGCCGGCTTTCCTTCTGCCCAGCACCTCCCAGCAGCTTCTCATTCCAAGCCACGGCCAGTCTTCTTGCCAGGGTCCACAGGCCTTATGGGATCCGCCTACCTGCCACCCCCATGACCGACCTTCTTTACCAGTCAGATTCTAATGGGAAATGATGGCACGCCTGGGGAGGATGTTCCAGGAGGGCTATTTTCAAGGCCACAGTTACAGGGTGTGGGGGTGGGAGTCACAGAAAAGAGCACAGGGATCAGGACTGGTAATGAGCGGCGGCCGAGGCGTGTGCGGTGACCCAGTCTGGAAAGTTGCTGAGCAGCGACGGCCCCTAGGAGGCGAGGGCCCAGCCGGCCTGCCTTCTCCCTTTTCGGTCTCGGGCCCCCGGGCCTGTGACTGCTGTGACGATTGCCACCCACTCGGTGGCTTACCACAGTTAATCCCCAGCAGCTCTGGAGGCCAGAAGTCTGGAGCGGGTCTCGTGGGCTGAAGTCAAGGTGGCAGCAGAACCGCAGTGCCATGGTGGTTCTGGGGGCTGCATCCTCGCTTCCTCCTGCTTCCAACCCCACCTTCAGTGCCCGCTGTGCTGTGGGCCTCCTCTTGGACGAGTTCCGCCTCTTCTTTTTCTCACTGCCCACATGGCCCAGCGTCACTGCCGTCTCGGGGTGCTCAGCTCGGTCCTGCCGGCAGTCACAGTGCCATGGGAGGCAATAGTCACAGACTCTAGGGACTGGGATCTGGGCTCTCTCTGGGCTGTTGTCTAGTGCACCCCAGGGGGTCGGGAGGGGGTCGAGGGGGCCATTCTGGGCGCCTGGGAGCAGCCAGCACCGCCCTCCCCACTTACTTCCCCGCCCGCTGTGTTGACCTGCTTCTGAACCCAGCATGCTCCTGCCACAGGGCCTTTGCCTGCTTTGTTTGTTGTCCTCAGTAGAGGCAGGTTCCTGGAAACCGAACTCTCCTGC